TAAACTAGCTTAGAGGACACGCGAATAACAAAAACGCCGCATCGAATGATATGGTGCACTCAAACGGACCTGCGCTAACACACTGGCAAATCATTGGACAAACCAGCGCCCGTCGAGCACAGCCGCGTTTACGACCAACAAGGCAGCCTACAACAGGCCCGCGTTTCCGCGAAACGTTGTCGGGCGCCAGCGGTGCAAACCCCGCGGCCGTAGCGCGCTAACTGAGAAGACAACCTGACGTCGATGTCTCTGCGCAAAGCGGCCCAATCCTGCCGCGCGCGCGGCGGCGCAGAGGCTGCCCCCGTTGCATTTCTCCACGCGCAACGGCCCAACGCCTGCGTTTCCCGCGGGGGGCGACCCGGCGCCTCCGCGCGCGCGGCGGCGCAGGGGCCGCCCCCATCGCATTCTTACGCAAGCAGCTCAGCGCCGCCGCGCGCGCGGCGGCGCAAAGGTCGCCACCATCAAAATTCTCCGCGCACGACGGCCAAGCGCCGCCGCGCGCACGGCGGCGCGGGAACGGCTCGCGCTGCGCCTTCTGCTCGCGATGGCCCCAGCCCGCCGCGCTCGCGGCGGCGCAGTGGCCGCCTCCATTTCGCCTCTCCATGCACGACGGCCCAGCGCCGCCGCGCGCACGGAAGCGCCGAAGCTGGTCTCGTCGCATTTTTTCTGAGCGCGGCGGCCCAGCGCCGCCGCGCGCGCGGCGGAGCAGGGGCCGCCTCAATTGCGTTTCCTCGCGCACGCAGGCCCCGCCGCCGCGCGCGCGGCGGCGCAATGGCCGCTCGCGACGCGCTTCTCCGCGCACGACGGCCAGCGTCGCCGCGCGCGCGGCGGCGCAGGGGCCGCCGGCGGCGCGTCTTCCGCGCGCGACGGCCCAGCGCCGCCGCGCGCGCGGCGGCGCAGAGACCCCCCCCCGCCGCATGTCACAACGCTCGACGGCCCAGCGACGCCGCGCGAGCGACGGCGCAGAAGCTGGCCTCGTCACAATTTGTCCACGCGCGACGGCCCAGCGCCGCCGCGCGCGCGGCGGCGCAAGGGCCGCCTCCATTGCGTTCCTCTGCGCACGACGGCACGGCGCCCCCTCGCGCGGCGTCGCAGAAACCGCGCGGCGTCGCAGAAACCTCCGGCGCAGAGGCCGCTCCCGTTGCATGCCTCCACGCACGTCGGCTCAGCGCTGCCGCGCGCGCGGCGGCGTGGAGGCGTTGGCCGAGCGGTTGCCTCGGCGTCAGCCGAACGATTGTTGCGAACTTCGATTGCCAGGGCTTCCCCTGTCTTGGCGTCAGTCATGCGATTTGGGCGACGCGCGCTGCGCTGCAACTCCTATCTCGCGCAGTGCGCGAGCGGTTTTTTGCGATTATCGAAGGGCGCCTTGTGTTTCGGCGCCAGCCGAGCGATTTGCGTGAAATCCAACCACCAGAGGGTCCCAGTGCAAGGGTCTAGTAGGCCCTGGATCGCTCGAAGCGCAAGGGTCTGGGAGGCTCTGGGTCGACCGAGCACTGGATCGCCCGAAACCAAACGGGCCCAAAAACTCCGGGCCACGCGAAACTCATTGGCCTGGGAAGCTCTGAATGAAACCGTTCGGGCACCCACCGCGAGCGCGGGTGAGCGCACCCAAGCGCTGGCGGCGTGCGTGGGCGGAGGCGCCCAGGCACCCGCGGCGCGCGCAGGCCCGAGTTGACCCCCCCGAGTTGGCCGCCCGAAAGTACCGACCAAAGGGGCCAGGCGAGTTGACCGGCCGAAGTGATCGGCCGAGTCGAGCGGCCAAGTTGATCGGCCGAGTTGATCGGCCAAATTGATCGGCCGAGTTGATGGGCCGAGTTGATTGAGTTGAACGGCCGAGTTGATCGGCCGAGTTGATGGGCCGAGTTGATCGGCCGAATTGATCGGCCCAGCTGATCGGCCAAATTGATCGGCCGAGTTGACCGCGCGCGCGCGTTGACGATTGATCGGCCCAGTTGGTCGGCCAAGTTGATCGGCCGAGTTGATCGGCCGACGCGCGCTTTGATGAGTTGATCGGCCAGATTGACCGCCCAACCGCGCGTTGACCGCCCCGCCGCGCGTTGACCAACCGAGTTGACCGCCCGGGTTGACCGCCCAGCCGCGCGTTGACCGCCCCGCCGCGCCGTAACCGCCCGAATTGACCGCCCAGGTTGACCGCCCAGCCGCGCGTTGACCGCCCGGCCGCGCGTTGGACTCCCGAATTGACCGCCCGAGTTGCCCGCCTAACCGCGCGCGGACCGACCTGGATCGGCCGCCCATAAGCCAATTGACCGCCCCAGGTTGACCGCGCAACCGCCTCCCTCGCACGGGGCCGCGAAGGCGAATGGCGGGCGAGACTCGGCCACGACGCGCTGGGAGACACTAGCGGCCTCAGAGGCACGTCCGACGGAAGGCCGCTCGCGCTGCGTTTTTCGCGCGCGGAGGTGCCCGGCCGTCGCGCGCGCGCGCGGGAAATCCAACGCGAGCGCCCCTCTGGCCGTCGCGCGCGCGGCGGCGCAGAGGTCGCCTCCACCTCGCTCGCGCGCGCCAGGCGGCGCCGCGCCGCCGCGATAGTGGGGCGTGCGAATGCCAAGTGCTGTCTGGTCGGGTTTCTCCATTCCCTGCGGGGGCTCGCCCGCCCCGCCGCGCGCTTTCCCGCGCGCCGCCCCTTCTCCCGAGGGTTCCCGGGCGACCGCGTTGACTCCCTGACGCTCTCCAAGTCTCCCAAAGCGGCCCCGGGTGGCAATCGGCCGCCAAGATGGCCCCAGGTTCTTTCTTGGGCGGGCAAAGATGGCTCCGAGACAAATCAACGCGGCGCCGCGGAGGCCCAGCACGGAACCAAGATGGTTCAGAGAAGCCCCCAATACGTCCCAGGACGGCCCAGGAGGGCTCCAAAAGGACCCCGAAAGACCCTAGGTACGACACTCGCTGATTTTGATACGGCGCTTCATTGATTTGGGGACATACTCGCTTCCGGCTTCAATCAGCCCGAGACGGCCAAAGAAGCCTCCCACGTTGCCCTGAGACGGCCCAAGACACCGCGACGATGAGCCGAGAAACCTCCAGAATGCGGCACAGGACGGCCCCGAGAGAGCCCCAAGACAACCTACGAAGACAGCCGTAGGGATCCAAGACGGCCCGGGAGGGCCTCTCGACCCCCGACGGACCCAGGCGCCCCCGCGACGCCCCGACGAAGGCCGCAAGAGAAACCCAAGACGGCTCACGCGGAGCCCAGAGCAACCCAGGAAAGCCGCAAGGGCCTGCAAGACGGCCCCACAGGAACCCAAGACTGCCCTGATACGGCCCAATTCAACCCCATGAGGGCTCTTCAAGAAATTCATTGGGAGTGCGCACATGTGACAGCCTAATGTTTGTCTCCTTCGCATTATGCTCGCCGTCCTCGTCGCCACCATCGTCGTTTCCATCGCTCGAACAGTCGCCGCCCAAAGTGCTTGACTGGCGCGGTGGAAGGACTTGCTTCTGGCAGCTGGGCGCAATGCGAAACGCACCCGGCGACGCGCACGCGGTGATCTTTTCAGAAGCCTCGCCCACTTCCTTCGGCTGTGCAACGCGAGTCCCCGCGCAAACAGCGCGTGACATCGAAGCCTCGCTGTTAAAGATGTGCGCCCGTGCATTCGCGCGCTTCGCGCTGCGCTGTGCGACGCAAAACTCGCGCAGACGAGCGCGTGCTCGCGTGCTCCGCGGCAACGACGCTGTTGGCGCCGCGGGCCATAAAACGAGCCACGCGTCACGGGGCCCAAGGGGAACCGCACTGCCGGCGAGCGATGGTGCGCGCAGAACTCAGGAAATCAAGACCGCCCCCCCGTCGCAAATCTGAAGTCGTTCTTCGTTGTTCTACCATGCGGGCCGAGGTCGCAGACGGACGGCATCGCAAGACCGAGGCCGAAGACTAATACCGAAGCCGAAGACCAACTTGCATCGCAAGACACAGCTGCGAAACCAAGGCCGAACACCGACACCCTGGGGCACTGGTCGAAGCCGGCAGCCGCGCCTAGACCATCGGACAACCCACCCCGAAGACCGACGTATATGCAGTAGCGAAGAACAAACGACACTTTCAACTGCACGCCAACAGCTACGAATCCGGAGCCACAGCTTAACCCAAACATAATCTAAAACAACAAATTGACCCCAAAAACCTTCACACCAAAACGAAAACTGATTTCCGTTTTAATCGCTTTCCCTGCCACTTCTGGGGCCATTCCTACAGACGACCCCGTTCTCTGACCCCCAGACAAACCCAAGATGAATTGTGTCTGCGTGTTTTCTTCCTCCCGACACCAGCCAGCGCAAGGCCTTCCTGTGGCGAGGGGCCCACGTCTCAGGCTCTCGTCTGCCCAAAGAGGCGGCGGGCAGGGGCCCGGTGCAGACTGCGCCTGCCGGGCGCCCCCGGGGCGCCGCGGAGACAGCGCGGCGGACGCATCGGGGGCCATGTGACGGACGCGCCCGCGGCAGAAGACGGGTCAAGACTGAAGCACTGAACGCTCTCGTGGATGCCATGACAGCGGACACTCTAACAATCCGATCACTGAACTAAAGATGTGTTTAAAACGTGTAAAAGCATGCTCTTAAAAATGATTCAACCATGTGTTTTACATATTTCAAACAGGCTTGAAACATATTTTAGACATCTGGAAAATATCAGGCAGCATGCTTCCTCTCCATGAACCGCCTTCCACAAGAATACTCCACTTCCTGGGCCGCTGAACTGAAAGCCGAGGACATCGGAATTCCCACGCGGGCAAAACTCAAAAGCGCCGCTCGCGCTGGGTCCACACACACACACACAGGGCCCAAGGGCGGGGCCAGGCCAGGAGAGACAGACCAGCAGACCGGCAAGCGTCCAGAGACCAGCGCCCAGGAAGGGTCGAGGTGGCCGCCAGGGCCCAGTGTTTCATGACCTCGACGGCGTGGACTGTCACCGGGTCGCTGAATGCACCACGTGGCGAAGCTCGCAAGCGCAAGCCGACAGATGCACCAGCAGGCGGGCGGCCTTCAGCACGTCAGGCTGAGACCTGGGGCCCGTGCAGTTCGAGGTCCGAAGTCCCCGTCGCGGCCGACCCCCAGATCGCCGCCGCCGTCGGAGACCCCCGCGTCACTGTGCTGACCTGCGCTCCAGCGCCACGAGGAGGAGGAGGGAGGAGGAGGAAGAGGAGGAGGAGGAGGAGGACGAAGCTGAATACCATTGGCTGAGACACGCGTGGCTTTCTGGAGCTGCTTGTCCTGCTCGCCCGCACGCCGTGCAGAGCCGTCGCTCGCACCGGTGCCCAGGCACCTCGTGCCTGCCGGGCGGTCCTCGTCCTGCGGGCTCCACCTGACAGACAGCGCATCCGATGGCTGTTTGCAAATGCGCAAGACGGACGTGCTCGGCACTGATGCGAGGGCCACAGTTTGAAAACGGGCCGCCCTCAATCCGCGCGTGAAACTCTTGCAATTTCGGAGACGAACATGCGAGGCGCGAAGGCGACAACCGCATGTTCAAAACCAACCGCCGTCAATCCGTGAAACTCTTGCGACTTTTGAACACCAATTCGCGCGGCGCTGAGGCGAGAACCACATGTTGACAACCACCCGCCCTCCATTTGTGAAACTGTTGCAAATATTTAAGCTTCAGGGCCACAAACACTGAAGAAGTCTCAGGCGAAACGCCTGGCCGGCCATTTCAAACGGCCTCGGGATGCGACAGGGACGAATTATCTATAAGGGAAACGAACGGAGGAGGGGGAGGAGGAGAAGGGAGAGGAGTAGGGGGACGAGGAGGAGAAGCAGAAGCAGCACCAGCAGGAGGAGGCGAAGCAGAAGCAGCACCAGGAGGAGCAAGAAAATTACGAGGACGGTGAAAAAAACAAAACTGGATCCCAGGCCAAGACGAGGAGGAGAAAGAGGAAAAGCAGCACGGAGACGGACGAGGACGGAGAAGAAGGGTAAAATGAATGTCCGTCCTCTTTCAGTTTGAAAAAGCGCTCTTGTGAACTCCCGTCAGCCTGACCCCAGCGAGTGAAGAGATGTGCCGCGAATCGCCCACAGAGTGACAATGCCAGGCACAGGGGCGCGCAGGGGGAATCACAAACTGGTGGCTCGCGTGGAAGAGCCTCACAAAAATTCATCAACCCACGCGAACAGGAAGAGGGAAGAGGAGGGACAGGAAGCGGAGGGGAGAAAGAGAGAGAGAGAGACGGAGAAAGAGAGACAGAGAGAGAGAGAGAGAACACTTGCCTTGCGTCGGCGGCTAGGCAGAACACCTGCGCTGGCGGAAGGGCAATCAAAACGGGGATACCGTTGCAGCGCATTGTGCCACCAGGCAAGAAGATGTGAGGAGACAAGGAGGGCGGCCGAAGGAGGAGAGAGGGAGCGATGGCCGCACATGGGGACGGTTCACACCCGGAGCGAATGGCGCGGCCGGCCCCGCCGGCCGGGGAGGCGGCGGCTGCTGCGCCGGGGCCCAGCGGCGGCGGGGCGCAGCACGGGTTCTGGGACGGCCAGTTGAACAGGACGCGATGGAAACAGAGCCAAAGCCAGAAGTAGATGGCAGTGCGTCCCCAGGGACGGGAGTGGGCGAGGAGTGCCCAGTCAGTTGAAGGGCCGCTGCGGCGGCGGGGAGCAAGAGAAAACTGAAAAAAGACAGGAGGGGAGGGGGGGAGAAGACCGGGAAGGCGACCTTAGCCAGATCGAACGAATCAGTGGGTCGCGCCTCTTTCCACCCACCCTCCCTTAACATGAGAATCAACTATGGCACAAAATGGTATTGGGATAGAACGCGTCGCCGCCTAGCAAACGGAAGACGCTCGCGCGCAGTCCCGCATCCGACGACTTGGCTAACGGACAGCTGCGCGGGCCACGCAAAAGCGGATGCGAAAACAGCACTGCTCCTGAACACAATTCAACCATCTCTCGGCCGGCCAAATGTCCGACGAACGCGGTGCAGGCGATCAATGAACCGCGCCGAAGCAGCACTGTCACCTTCACGCACAAACTGCGGGGCGCTTCGGCGAGGACAACATCTCGCCCTGTCTCGCGCAGCCCCGCTGCCGCTACCGCCTTCACGCGACTCGGTGAGCGACACACGCACCGCGCCCACGCAGGAACGCCACTTCCAAGCGAGAGGCGCACGGAGCTTGTCAAGACAAGGAAGCCGTGCATCCATGAAGGACGCGTGGGCAGAAAACACGCCCAAACGCAGCTAGAAAGTTGCCCGAGCCAGCGCTACTGGGAAGGGGAAGAGGGGTGCGGACAGAAGGGAGAGCACAAGAGGCTTCAGATGCTCGCACGATCGAGATGATACACGGCCTTCGCCCAGGGGCTTGTGCAAGGGCGACAGCGCCCGCGCGCGTGGGGCCGAAAACTCGGCGTGCGACAGGTGTGCGCCGCGCCAGGGCGGGAGCGCCACTTTTGAAGGGGCCCTGGGACACACAAACAAACACACACACACACACTCAAATCACAGGAAACCCCAGACGTTCCTATAGTTTCCTGGTTTCTGTCTTCCCCCCACTTCCGATATGTTTCCCATATTTTCCCGGGGATCGACGATGAATTGTGTCTGTGTGTGTTGTTCCTCTTTGAGCTTTGAGCTGCGCGGCGCAGCGGGGGGCAAGAACGGCAAGCCCCTCGCCCGCTCGCGCGTCGACGCCCGGGGCCCTGCGGACAGTGCCAGAGGCCTCCCGGATGGGGTCCGATGCATCGCCAATGCCTCGGCGATGCATCGGCGATGCAT